TCATAGCTACAGAGCAGTGGTCCTGGAAAAACGGTGTTTAACCTCAGCCTGAGGTCTGTGCTGAAGCAGAGAGCCCATGAACTGTCCTAACACCATGTGCTAGGTACTATTCAGCCCACTACAGCTTTGGAGGAGAGAGGTTAACACTTTGTAGCACTGACAGAAGCTCTTTTTCTTTTGAATGCCCTCAAATCCTTTTTTGTGCCACAGGTCCTTCCAGGATACCCTCTCCTCCCCCTCTTTACCTTAACTCCTCTGTACCCTGAGGCTGAGCCGGCTTCTGCCTTTTATGGAGCCATAGGGGCTCCATGTCTTTCGCCATGGCAGGGAGCAAGGGAACCACTCTGAGCATCTGCAGAGATGGGAAGTGATGCTTCTTATGGAGGTTTCTGCTTGGAGCTCGTGAAGAGCAACCATGCTGAGGTTTTTCCTCTGGTGCTTTTCTGAAGCTAGAAGCCCAGTAGTTTGGCCCCTGCTGAGGAACATCATGAGGCTGAAGCAGGCATTTCACTGCCCTGCTCCGGTGAGATCTGTGTACTTGTGCTCTCAGACATTTAGATGGCCAAGGACTGAGCTTGAAGAATGTGATCTGAGGAGGCTGATGGGCTTCTCCAGAGAAAGACAGTGCCTGTGCCACTCTCCTTTGGCACAGCATTCCCACATTCTGTCCCCCAAACCTTTGCTTTGAGTCCAGCCCTTAAGACTGGTGGTGTTGGTGATTAATCACGCACTACTTTTATCTTGCAGTGTGTAGGAAGAAGTTAAAGTCAACGACTACTCTGCAGTGACAGTCTCCTGTTTTATGTGTGAGGGTTTTGTGGATGTGGCCAGCTGGTAACAGCACAGTGCTGAAAAGAGAGGAATAGCCTTACTTCTGTACTCTTTTCAGCTCAGTTCATTTTCTTCAGCATCTGAGAGTTATGGTCAAGCTAGAAAGCAGAGATGAATATCTCCTCTTGCAAGAAAAATTAACAACTCCAACTATTAAAGTTGAATTTTTTGTAACCTGCTTCACAGCCTGGATTACTTTACAGGTGAAATGGCAGTATCAGTTTGGGTCCCACAAGCAAAGCCTGGCAAAACTGGAACAGGAGGAATATTCTCAAGTATTCTACCATCATTTTTGCCCCATTTTCCTTTTACCTCAATATGCAGTTTTCTAGTTGATTGCTGGTCTAGTGCATAATTTTATTGTTCAGTCATGGTTCTTGTTACCATATATAATGTTATTCATATGTGATGTATTTATATTCAGGGAAATACTGTTGGTCCTTAGGGTCACTTGTTAAGAGTGTCTGGGGAGATCAGATTTGTTACATTTAGTATTGTTCACAACCTTTTTGTATGCATGGTTTGACTTGTGGAGAAACTGCTTAGCGTGTTTAAAAGGAGGCTGGGAGGCATACACGCCTCCTTGGCAGGACTTATGTATGACAAGGCTGTCATATGTCTGTCCCAGTCAGTGCGGACACCTAATTGCACCTGATTCATGCCGATTGATGGAATGAATGAATGATTCAAGACATTAATGATGACAGGCATTAGCATCAACTGGACCCATCAGAGCACACATATGTGAAAAGGTTCATCTCGGGCTGCCTTAAATGTGTCTGAACCTGCCTGCCAGCAGTTGGAGATCTGCATAGGCAGCAACGGGCCAGCTGTTACATCATCACTTGCACTGCTGCTGGAACAGAAATCTGCAGGCTGAAATGCATGATGCTACTGGGGCCCTCACAACGGACACAAAGCTGGTGCAGAGTCCCACGTAGGTGGGTTCTCTTGCCAGGTGGAGATGGGTACTCCGCTGTGTGGAGGCAAACCTCTGGGAGGACAACATGTTACATGGGGTCTGCCCATGGTTTCTTGCTCTGTCAAAAAGACATCTGTTTAGTCCTGAGTCTTTACAGATTTAGCCATATATGGCTGGCTGGTGGAAGGTACTGGAGGAATATAGGAGGCTGTTAGCATGTGGCTGTGAAGACTAAGCTGTGTGAGACAACAGGCAGCAGCACAGTCCCGGCTGGGCTTGGAAATTCACACTGCCAGTTCCACCACACTGGCCTTGAAGGGTCCACGTGCCCTGAGGCAACCTGTGGGGCACCACAGGTGTACCAGTGGCTACCCAGGGCTGATCACACTGCGAACTGCAGGTTGCACAGGACAGATTGGAGGACAGCAAAGAGAAACTGCTGGTGGGAAGAGGTGCAGGAAGCTTCCAGAAGAGATAGGAAAGCAAAGCAGGGAGAGGAAGTGGGTTTACATATGGTGGTACCAGAGGAGGTTATGAGACTGCAAGCGTTAGGGTCAGTCACATCAAGGTAAAGAGAAGCAGTTGATGCGAATGGGTGAAATGGATTTCCTTTGTTGGGAGAAAAGGAAAGGTAGGGTAGAGTCTTTTTGTCATCTGTATGCCACATATTTAATTTGACTCCAAAATTTTAGCCGCACATTTTCAGGATGCAGGTGAAATAGCTCTACTGCAGATGAATTATCTCTGACTCCCTGATTGTAATGATTCAAGCGCTTCCTTTCAAATTGCATTTTTCCTTCTTGTGTGCTTTATAACCTATTTTGAGAAAGAATATTTATTACACCAGTCTTTACTAGTTAAGTGGTACTTTTCCAAGCCAGCTGTTTTTGTTGTTTTCTTTTAGCAGAAAGATGGAACAATTAAAATTGAGTCAATCCACATCGTACTTTTTTTGCATCTTTTCCAGAAGTGTTTAGGTGTTGCTATAGGAGGCAGAATGGTGGACTGAGGTCTGATTGTGTCAGAGCATTTCTTTTTCTGTAAAATAGTTTCCAGTGCCCACTGTTAGATAATACCAGTGTATCCTAGTATTTTGTCTGTGTAAATGTGGTAGTTAAACCACATTTATTTATTAAATTAAACCAAAGTGCAGTATTTAAACAAGAATGCATTTGGAGATGCTCTGATACTTCAGAATGCAAATGGGAAATCCTTCTTGTTTCCACTCAGATTCCAGTATGTTTGATACTACCTGAAACTGGTAAAAGGATATTAACAATTTACAGTTTGCAAATTTTCCTAGCAGGGGCTTTTATTTAATCACTTGCATTATTGTCAAAGACCTGATTACATTCTTAATTATTAGTGTACATACTTCCTCCAAATTTCCATCTGATAAGATCAGCAATACTTGTTAGTGTGGAAGTTTCAGCAACTAATGTTAAAATGCTAAAAAAGCCCAGCTCCCTTCTTCCTCTTTGTTACTGTGTATCTCAGCTTATATTGCTTCCCAGTCTCTGATGAGTCATTGCATTTACTTTGTACTGATACTTTTCATATTTCATGCCTGAGCAGTGATTTTGATTTCCTTGTTTTCTGATCAGGAAAAACACCATTTTTTTTCCTGTTAGGTAACACTGGATTTCTTCCAGATCAAAGAAACCTTCTTTTCCAAGTTATGATTGCGGAGAATGCTGTGGAAATTGCATGCAGGTGTCTCTGGTCACTTTTGAAGATCTTGATGCTGTTTTCTTAGTAGCAGTCCAGATCCCAAGGGGATATTGCTTTATAATGAAGATGAATATTATAAAGATCTAAAACATCAGCAGTATAAATTATAACAATCAACTGTGAGAATATACATGAACATTTCATATACCAGAGACTCCCAACTATGCAAATTTAAATTCCCTTCTACTCCTTATCACAGCCATAGAGTGGCACAGGGTATTGCTGAGCACTGATGTATGTCCTAGCAGTAGTACAACCCAGTATTTCAAGTTCAGCAGAGCATTTTTAGAGGCAAGGATTTACAGACTGACTCATGGTTTGTTCACCCCTGCAAGCAAATAAAACAGCGGGTTTCACTTCCAGATAAAGGGGTCTGATAGTACCAGCTCCAGCTCTCCACCCTGCTCCCCAACCAACTACTGCCACTCACAGCAGAGGGAGTGGGAAGAGATTTCCTTCTGCACCTTCTCTGACCTCTTCCTCCTGCTCTGCTGCCCGCCTTGCTACCAGTGAAGGGAAGTGTCAGGCAGCTGTGGAGATGAGTGTGATCTCACACCCTATGGTTTCCTCCTTTGGGTGGTGATCAGTTGCCCTCATACCTCTTCTTAGTGATCCCATCAGCAATTAGACAGTGACACCCCCTCGACCTGTGTTTCAGCCTTGACAGTGAAGCAACCTAGAAGCAGCAGTGTGTTGGTGAAGGGAGGTTGTCTTTCCCTACCTGCTGCTGTGACTTGTTTAAAAAGGAAAAAAAACCCCAAATCCTTAATCTTTTTATTTCTGAGTTTTGTTTTCTCGTCATGGAGCTCAGCCTCCAGAGGTAGATAAAAGAGAATTAAAACCCGCTGAGCCAACAGACTCGGCACACAACCAAGTAGAACCTTGAAATTTTGAAAGGCGTGGTAAAAAAATTGGGAAGAATTAACCTCAGATGATTTTTTGTGATGATGAAAAGAAGGGACTAGGCAGCATGAAACTATTGTTTGGAGAGATGCAGTCCTGAAGTTAGAAGTATCGTGTTTGCTGTAGTTGAACTAGTTAATATTTGACAGTTTAGCTTGAGGTATTTCATTGTAGTGTGAAGATAACAGCGGCACAGTGTGCTTGCACAGATAAAATGAGGCATACACACATCCAACTCTTTTTACAGAAATACAACATCAGCACAGTGGCTGTTTAACCTGCAAAACCTTATGCTGCATTTTACTAATACTTTATACAGATTGTGTCATGACAGTGCAGAAAGTGATTTATTTTAGACATAAAACATACTTCAAATTGTCTTATCATTAGCCTGTTTCAACGTTACTTACAGTAACTGGGTAAAACTTTAACAAGTATTTAGCTGTACGAATTAACCTCATGGATTATGCCCACTGTGGCAGCAGAATTATTGGTCAGCAGAATTTGTTTTTGCAGCCTCTTATCAGAAGACAGCCGTGATTACTAAGCTAAATTGGTATGTGAAACCATATGGTGTTTTGGAGCTGCTTGGTAACTGTGGTGGATAAATAGCTCCTGACCCTAAACAGGATCTTTTAAAGAAAAAAAAGCGGTGTCCCTATGCCTTATAAGGCATGGGCAGGCTTACTCCAGTGCTGAAGGGGCGGTAACGGGTTCATGTTGCTGAGTTTTCTTCAGCTGCGGTCGCAGGCGACTGAAGAAGTTGCGCTGAAATTGCAAACGCTTCGTTCCCTGGCACTTTGCAGCGAAACTCAGTCAAGAGAGGAGGCAGCAGGCGAAATTTAAAAAAAAAAACAAACAAAAAAACCAAATCCCAAACCACCACTTGATCATGGGAAAATCAGGTGAGCAAATGCCTTCGTGCAGTTGGCTGTGTATTCTCACAATGTCCGTGCCTAGTTTTGTGCTTGGAAAGCATTGCTAAAGCTTAGTGGCTTTCCTCGGAGAAAGCTGCTTTCATCTGTGCATGGTACAGCCTGGGAGGAGCTTCCTCTCTTGACACAGGGTTAGATTAAAAAACCCAAGAAAAACGACCCGCTTTCCCCAGCCTGCACAATGCTGAGGTAGTTGTATTTTATATACAGTTTACGTTTTGTAACAATAGTTTTGCTTTACTGTATTAAATAATTATAAGCCCTATAGCTTTAAAATTATCTTGTGTCTAGCTGTCTGACAAAACTTACCTGCCTTGCAGATAGGCAGCAGGATGCTTTGAGCGGGGGAAGGTTTTTATCACCCTTCCTGTCAGGAGGATTTAAATTTAAGATTTAGTTACCGTTTAACTGAGGAGAGCCTTGCTCGGCTCCTAAGTCTCTTGCCAGCTGTGCAGATCTTTGTGAAGCCTCTTCCTGCTGCTGGTTGCATTGTTGGTCCTTTCCCTGCTGCTGCCAGCTGTCTGTGTGTTCTGCTCTGACAGTCTCAGCTGGGAGAGACCCCTCTTGAAGCTGCCAAGGAGCTGGAGCCCTTAAGAAGAGAGAGCTTGTACCCAGGGCTTTCTGCATCTTTGTCCTCTTAGAGTCATGAGCAAAAATCTCTGCCGATTTTCTGAAACAGCTATGAAACTGGATGGTTTATTTTTGTTCTTGTGGTTAGGACGTTATTTCTGTGACAAATCAGTCTGGCAACATATTATCTGTCCTGTGCGTAAACAGCACGTATGGGATGTGCTCAGCAAAACCTAGTACTTTATTGACTCAGAACCATAGGCTCTTCCAGAGAAAATTGAGGAAAATCTTGGTGCGAGTAACACGTTAATGGGCCTCAGCCTGGGTGTGTTGAGGTTTTTTCCTTTTGCATTTTTTAAAGGTCATCATCCTAGATGAGATCAGAGCTGTCTGCAGATGTGACTGTAAAGGGCTTATTGGTATGACACCCAGTCCAGGCAAAGCACCATATAGCTGCCAGTGGGTGGTTTTGGCCTTGTGTCCTGGAAGCTGCATATGTTTTCAAGTGGATTGGGATTTAGTAAATAACCTTGTAACAATTTAAATAACTGTAGTTGCCAAGAAGTATCAAGTTCATCACTTCCTTGCTAATAGAATAAAAAGTACAAATACCAGGTAAGTCTAGTGGCTGTGTATTGCATTAGCAAAGCACACTGGGCAAAAGCAGTAGAGGTGTTCTACTGTGCACCTCCCAATCCCAAAATTATTAAAATCCCCTTTTAAGATATGCAAACTGCTAATACAGTCATAAGGTGATTACTGTCTTAGTTATTTCCTGCATGTTTATTACTGTACATCAGTTGATCGTTCCACACTTAGGAGCAACAACAGACCAGAAACTCCTTTTTGCCAAGGTTTGGGTGATGTTTGCATCTCTAAGTAGTTATACAAATAGAGCTTGAGATCTAAGTACATGTTAAAAATGTTTTGTTGCTTGTGTCACGCTTTTCAAATCAATGGTAAACTGGGTCCAGGTTACTGTCTTTGAGCTGCATGTGGTATTTTTAGACGAATCATAAAACTGAGATCCTGTCCTGACAATTGGTTTATTGACTAAATCCCATCTGCCCTTTCCAGTGCATTGAAGTTTTCAAATTCCTGTCTGAGATCACTTAGTGTGGTTTGCCTTTCAATGGGCGAGAGCAGCTATTTGTATTACAGAGCACCACTTCCTCTGTGTTTTGTGTAAAATACCTCGTGTTCTTGCTGCAGTAGTCTTGAGGACATGATGCAGGCATGTTTATACTAGATATGTGGAAATGTAACAGGTTGGGATCTGTCTGACCTTGAAACAGAAGCTCGTCCTGCATCAGAAAGTTTAAGGCAGAGACAAATTTGAGGATGCTCTAATTCATGTAAAGTGGGGCCACTGGTTTAGAATAAATGTCTTCAGAGCAGTTTCTTTAACTTTTTATCTTCAGTAAATTTTATATTGAGGTCTAAGTATCCTCAGGCAAAGAAATCCTCCTGTTGAAAAATCTCAGTTCTTTGATTAAAAACTCTCTAGTAATGTGTTGTTACCAGCAGTTGGATTATATTTGAAGGAATGTTCATTGCTAGTATCAGAGCTAGAGACTTTGCATTGGTTTTGTTTCACGGAGTAGAGCTGAGTGTTGGAAGACATCGGTACCTCTGACTCAGCTTTCTTCCTTGGAAGCTGCAGGCTGCTAAAACCAAATTCATATTGAAACTCCCTCATCAGCTTTACAAAAATGCCTCCCGTGGCCATAGCTCCTGCAAATACTTAAGCCAAACACAGGGATCCCCTCTGCCCTCCCCCTGCTCTTGTCTTTTCGGACAGCGTGTGGATTAATAAGCAGTGCAGATCCCAGAAAGCCTGAACCGAAAAGACTGGGGTAAGTATTTTCTGCAGGAAATGAGGCGATGGTGAGTTGGCCGCTCTTTGTTGCCCTGTTGCTAAGACTGCCGTGTCGGCTGGGCGCTGACCCCCGTGCAGCTGTGCGGGGTTGCGGCGGGGGTCCTGCGGGCAGCCCTCGCCCCAGAGGGGATATCCATGCGAGCAGCTGCGGGCGATGCTCGGGGAAGCAGCTGCCTGCCAGCTCCACTCCTCCGCTCGGGAGCGCGGGGATTCCTGCTGCGCAGCGGGAGTCTCCAAAAAGGCTGGGAGGGCGGCAGAAAAAGGCTGCTGAAAGGCTCATTTCTTCCGCTTCCCCTCTGGCCCGGCCTGGTGGGAGAAGGGAGCTCGGCTCCCTCGCTTGCTCTCCGAAAACCGGGCAGCGGTGATGGCAGGGGAATCGCCCTGTTTCTTCTAGCTAGCGGGTGCAAATGCTATCAGACAAAGACTAGGATGGGCTCAGTAAATATTTGCTATCTTTTTACAGTGTTTGTTTTTCTTGCCTTTTTTTTTTTTTTTTCCCCCCTCTACAAATGTGGGTGGGACTCCAAAGAAAGGGCTGGGAGTTACCCACTGTACTTTTTGTTGAGTCAGTACAAAAAATAAGGGCCGAGAAAGGGTTTTGACGAAAGAAGAGATGGGAACCAAACTCGGTGCAGTTCTCCGTGCATGTTCTTCCCTAGAAGCATGTGCTGTTTTTTAACTCTTAAGATGCACCTTCGGAGCACAGTAAAAAGAACAGTCGTGTTTTCTGCAGAGTGAGATACATCTTCAGCTGAAGTGCAAATTTGTACTATAGCATCTCAGTAGGAGACAGCTGTAGCAGGTTGTAACAAAAGTACAAGCATACTAGAGACGTGACCTGTTTGCTTTCTGAGAAATGCGATACTCATAAGTTGCCAAAATGACAAGGAATCATGCTGAGTGGTTTTACAGAAATGGTGGGGAGAGAGGAAATGAATTAGTCTAAACTGCTAGCAACCAAGCATTTGTGTTTGGTAACAGCGGGGCATTTGCAGAACTTGTCATCAGTTGAAGTTATTAGGTGTTTCTTTTTACACTAGAACTGCACTGGAAGGTGTGATGGGAAAAGGGCCTTTCAAACATCAAGTTAATTCAATTAAAACACCCACAATTCTCCAGTTTCTGTGTCTAGAACACGCTGGTTACTTGATTCAAGTTCAATAAATGGCAAATAGAGAAAAATATGCAAGGAAGGCATCAGGCTTTAGCAAACAGTATTCTGGGCTCAATTTTTACATGTCTGTTGAGCCATCAGGGTTTTGGTGGAGGGGAGGAGGAGAACGCAGCTCCTGTTGACTGTTAGATTAGTAGCTTTAGCTCCTCATGCTCAAGTCAGATAAATACCAAAACGGATGTGAAGGGCTTACAAAGAATAGGATGTAATGCTCTGTAGTAACCAATATACCTACCAAGGTTTCTGATGCCGTAGAGTTGCACATCAAAAAACATCAGCTTTTCTTTCTGAATCCTCCAAGAAATGTTTCTCAAAATAATTTAAGCATGAAGAAAGCTTTTATTACTGCAAACATTCAAACTCTTTGTTTTCTATCAGTACAGTTGATCATGTCTGTCTTTCCTGGATTTGAATTTGCCTCAGTTGCTGCTCTGTGTGCAGGAACAAAAAGTATGAGAAAATGAGTCTCTTGATTGTTGTTTATTACATCTCTCAGCAGGCCAGAAGGCTATTTCACATCACTATTTTGGTAGAAGCAGTGCTGTTCTCTGAAAGATTAGCCTGAACATATCTATGTTACGTTTTTACAGGCAGATGTAAGCAAGTTCTGCCTAGTCTTTGAAAGTTTGAACAGCAGCTCTGCCAGAGGTGGGCTGGGTTGCAGAGGGGGTTGAAGTGAGGCCAGGCAGGTGGCCAAACCACTCTGGTTCAGAACTGGCTCCTGCGCAAGCAGGTATGAGAAGATAGTAGTAGTCTGGGGTGTTGTGGAGGAAGGCACTATGGGCCTGTTTAAGGCCATCACAGACATTATTTAATATTGTTTAAAATTGACTGAACTGAGTTACCAGAGCGAATCTTGGCTTTGAACAGAAATCATGTGGGCTTTGCCTGGTCTCACCTTTAAGCATGATTATTGCAGAGCTGCATGAGATGGTAAGTTAACTGTCCTTCTGAAGCTTTGCCATGCCACCATTGTAGGGGTGGTGTTTGGGAGCCATTTTCTAATATAGATTGTGAGGGCTTTCCTCGCTGAAAGAAAGCTGAAATGGGGTTGCATGTGTTGCTGAAGCCTTCGTGCCCTGTTGTAAATGTAAATACAGGGGCAGGGGGACTGTTTTCCATGAGACAGCTCTGATGATAGTTTGTGATAGGCAGATGTTAAGAAATTTTTGAATATGTGCTTAATCATACCTTATGTGTTTGTCACACTTGTAAATTCTGTGGGGCCATTGGCACATGGTGGACACTTAAGTGACCCTCCAAGTGGTTTGGGAAGAACTGCAGTAGGCTATAACCTGTTATTGAATTTTCCCTATGAAGACCCATTACTAAGAGACCACTCAGCTC